CCCACCATCTGCCAGCCTCCTCCGGCTGCTTCTGTCCCTGGCGCTAGGAGCCGGCTTTCCCCTTCAGGCTCTCCTTTCTCAGCATCTGCCCGTCCCTCGCTCTCGTGCCTTCTCAGTCCCCAAACTTGCTTCCCTAGGCTGTCTCCCAAGGCAGCCCCAGTGCCCTCCCAGGCCTCTGCTTCCTGGCTGTAGACAGAATCAGCCTGGAGAGCCTGTCCTCTGAGGAGGGAGGGACCTCGCTCTCAGCAGCCGCCCCTCTCTGCTCTTCTTACTGCTGTGGGGTGGTCTGCTCATCTTGTTTCCGTTCTGTTCCCTGATTTTTTCCACCTCTCCCTCTGCATACATTTTTCCAGAATTCTACACTTTCCTCCTCTGCCGAGCTGCACATTCTCCTTGGAAGTGCACAGCCAGCACAGACTGGAATGTTGCTATTCCTGGCCGACTTACCTGACTTTCCTGCTCATTTTCATTAGCCGCAGACTGACCTTTCTAGCTGTCTCCCGGACTGAGCTTTGGGGTCTTTATTCGCTGTTTGCCCTCCCATTACCCCCACCCACACCACCATGTCACTGTTAGTAGACCGTTCCTACCACGTTGCCACACATGCTGAATACCTCTCTCTGTTCATGGCCTGGCTCCTCCCCAGGCCACCTTCCATTCTGTCCTTACTGCTGGGGGGTTTCTTCTTGTTCTGATACTTCCCTTTCTAGCAGCCTTTGATGCCCCACTGTCTGCAGTGGCACCATTAAGGGAAATACAGAGTGAACCGCAGTTGCACACTAAGTTGAAAGAATGAAAATCAACTTTAAGAATACATTTTATTTTATTTGCTATGACCAAAATCTTTTCCCATGTAATATAAAAATAATGACGGGGGCTGGGCGTGGTGGTGTACGCCTTTAATCCCAGCAGAGGCAGGCGCATCACTGTGAGTTCAAGGCCAGCCTGGTCCACATAGTGAGTTCCAGGACAGCTGGGGCTACAGGGAGACCCTGTCTCAAAAAGACCAAAAAAAAAAAAAAAACAAAAAACACTGGGATAATTGACCTTTTTTTCCAAAGCACAACTGCAGAATCCAGTTTCTCTTTTGCACCCACACTGTATCTCCATTCAGGCCAGTTCCGTGGAAGTATAGCATAGGGCTTCATGGCTCTAAGCCTGAGCCCTTACCCTGGGACCTCACGTGCTTCAGCCAACAGAGATGCTGTGTACTTTTCTCTGTCCCTGGGACTGTTCTGTGGGAGCCTTGGCCCTTTGTGCTCCTGCCTCCCCTCCCACTCCTGTCTAAGACTACCTGAAGGGCCGAGGTCTTGCTGGGTATCTTTATAATGTTTAACCAGATGTTCCAGTGCAAGCTCAAGGCTAGCAAGGATATCCTGCCACCTTTTTGGTAGAAGCTGGACTATGTAAAGTTTTGTTCTACTTTGTTTTTGAGACAGTTTTGCTGTGTGTCCTGACTGACCTGGTGCTCCCTATGCTCCCAGCTACCATGCCCAGCTTCTGGCTGTGTTAAATAAATGTTACATAAAACATTCCAGGTGTTTTGTTTCTTAATCTGAAGGTAGTCATAAGATGCATTCTGTTCTCTTTTACTTTGTTATACCCAAACCAATCAAGACCCCGAAGTGACTCTTTGGCCGTGGGGTCTGAGCTAGGCTGGCAGTCTGCTCCAGGGAGGTGTTAGTGACTGTGGTAGGCTGTCTGCAGACCAGTTAACATTTCTCCGTGGGACAGAAGATAGCTACCACCTTGGGGTCTGATGGCCCATCCCCTCAGCGAGCTCCCCGCTGTCCCTCAGGCTTTGTTGGCCTGCCTACCTCGGCACCCCAAGCTGCTGTTCCTTGAGGGGCTCTGCTGCTTTCTGCGGCCTCCCAGTATCTTCTCAGCTGACTCCTGCCCCTAGATTAAGAGGCTTTGCTTAGCTCGGCTCCATGATGCACGTCTTTAATCCCAGTGCTGGAGGCAGAGGCAGGCGGTTCTCTGAGATCAAGCCTAGGGCAGTCGAGATAATAAATTCCAGGCCATTTGGGGCTATAGGAAGACCCTGACTTTAAAAAATAGAAGAGAGAGATCTTTCTCAGCAGTCCTCTTGGAGATTGAAACTCCAGACACCCTGTCCCCAGCACTCCGTCACTTTGTTCCCCCCACCACCACTAGTCTTCTGCTTGGTAGCATTTAGACCACCCCTCTAGAACACACACATTCCTTTAAAAAGGGGCAGCAGTTTTCATTGGTGCCGTATCAGCGCCTGACAATGCGGTATGCATTCGGTGCCATTGAGTGTATGAATGAATAGGACCAGGTAAGGTTCTTGACACCTTAAGCCTGTCTTTTTCATAGGTGGCATGCAGTAGTACGTTCTGATGGGGCAAATGGGTTATGGCGGGAGCGCGTAATTGTTATATTTTCCATGGTAGGCAGTTTGACTATATTTGTATATAAATTCCAGATGTGTGTGCCTTTTAGCTTAGCTGTTCCCCGAGAAGTCATCCTGTAGGCATACTGCTCATACTTCTGGAAACTAACTGCCCTGGGTTCAAGGTCATTCATCACTATGGAAATACTGAGCAGCGAGGGGCTTGCACTGTAAGCTACTGTCTATCCACATAATTGCATGCTTTGTAACTTGAGAAGAGTAGGAAGCTGTCCACTACACAGACAGATGTACAGTTATGTCATTGAATGGAAGCAGAGGTGAGCACACAGTGTGAAAAGAGAGGAGTTCGTAAACGTTGCTCATACTTGGCGTGTACGTGTTGTGGTCACTCTGGATGGATAAGAAGCTAGGATCCGTGACTGAGAGCTGGCAGGTCTGGAGAGCAGCAGAGGAGTCTGAGTCAGGCTTGTTGCATGCAGTCTGGTGCACGTGAACTATGTTACCTGCTCCTCAAACCCAGGTGGACCTAAGGGTTATTTTTGAACATTGGCGAGTGTGGGTATAAAGCTTCTTGCCAATGTCTGGCACCTAGAATGGATCCTCAGGTTGGAAGTGACACCTGCCCTCCTGCCACGCCATCCCCTGATTGAGACACAGGACACCCGCAGATGAAGCACACTTTTACCCCTCCCCCAAGTATGTGGAGCTGGGAGGGAGGACCTGGAGCTAGACAAGTGAGCTCTACCGTGGAGCTGGGTTCAAGGTCCTTTTTGGTTTTGGTCTGTCCTTGCTCACACTAGTATGTGAAGTTTCCCAGGGTCAGAATGCAGTAATAATGTCTGATTAGGTTGGCAGTTAGAGTAGGTGGGTACAGGTTTTATCTGTACTTGGTGCAAATTTTTTGTCAGTTGTTCTTGTCAGTTTGTTTTTTGAGACAAGATTTCCCTGTAGTCCCAGCTGGCCTGGAACTCGCCTGGCTCTGCCTCCGAGTGCTGGAAATAAAGGCACTAAAGGTGTGTGCCACCATGCCAGGCCACACAGATTCCCGAACCCCTTCCAAAGAAACTGCCAGAGTGGTGGGAGGTTTTTAGACTGCTGGCATTAACATAGGTCAGGTGCCATTGGTAGACAGGTCACTAGGCAGGAAATGAGAGTCAGGGAGCGAAAATGGTGACTCTGTCCCCGGGGGCGGGCAGTGCCTGCTGGTCTAGGAATGCCAGTCATGCTGTTCTGAGCCAGTTTTGTAGCTCCCCAGGCCAGGCTTGAGTGCTGTGGGGAGCTCAGCCTCCCGTTCTTCCCTGTTCGTTATCAACCCTCCTGACGTCTTCTTTTCATGCTTTGGTCTCGCGGGACTCAGCCACTTCTTTTACATCCTTTATTATTGTTGTTTCTGTAGTTCGGTTTGCGATGCTGGGTGTGGAACCCAGATTCTCTCACATGCTACAATTCAGCCTCCATTCTTTTAAAAATCAAGTTATTTCATTTCTGTCATTTTCTGTAAAGAAGCAACACACATAGTTGAAACATGGTCACTAAACCAACTAGGTAGATGGCTGTTTCAAGTCCACATCAAAGTGCCCTGGTGGCTTTCTGAGCCTGGGCCTGGGGAATCCCTTAGGCGAAGTGGTAGTGTTTAAGCCCTTGGGGCTGCCTCGGTAGGGAGTGGTGGTACAGCACAGAACATTTGGCAGCAGGAGTCCCTAAGCAGGACTCGGGAACCTTGGTGATTTCTGGTGATGTGATCTTTGAGACCGCACAGCCTGTGGAGGGTGTGCACCCTGGTGAGCCCCGTAGCGGGGTGTGCACAGAGAAGGGTACCTCTGCATCTGGATGGCTTTCACGGTTTGCTTTTGTTCTTTTGGTTTTAAAGGCAACACTACTGACACATGCAGTTAAAGAGACACCTAGGGCAGTGGACCAGAGATGAGCGTGGAGTAGAGCGCCAGTGGGGCGCAGACTCCATTTACGCCAGGTGTTTCCTTAACCACCACCGCGTTCCAGAGAGAATTTTGAGGAGATGCGGGTAAAGATATTCACAGGCCAGCGTATGGAGTGAGGAAGCCACAGTGAGTCCGGGGCTGCGTCGGGCCCAGGAAGTGTGCTTTCAAGTCCTGTGCTGCTGCTGGTCACAGGCTGCAGATGACGCCCCACCCTCAAGCAGCCACAGCAAGGGGCACATGTAGTCAGCCCATGGCCTGCAGTGACAAAGGCAAAGAAAGCTGTGAGGCCTAGCTTTCCGGCTGTGAGGACTGCATTTCCTGAGTCCTCAGAGAGGAAGCCGCTCTGGCTGCAGTGAAGCAGATTCAGATGCTCCTGCCATAAGGAAGTGTCCGTGGGCCGCTCTCACAGTGCCCGGTGCCTGGCTCGGTGCCTGGCACAGAGTAGGCTCTCAGCAGACATTTACTGAATGACTGACTCCCTCAGTAAATGGCAGTGGCCCAACACCCAAGTGCAATTCTAGGAAGGGGCCATGTGCTCTTCGCCGGCCTGGCTGACACAGGATAAATGTGGAGTGCCTGGACGGACTCTTCCCTTCTCACCAAGAAGCAGACAAGCTTGCTTTCTGGAAAAGTAGACCTTTAAGCTTCTCACTGTGATAACTTCTTCTCCTTTGTCTTCACAGAGACTGATAGACAAGTCACGCGTAACCTGTGTCAAATGGGTTCCTGGTTCGGAAAGCCTTTTCCTAGTAGCCCATTCAAGTGGGAACATGTACTTATATAATGTGGAGCACACTTGTGGCACCACAGCCCCCCACTACCAGCTTCTGAAGCAGGGAGAGAGCTTTGCCGTGCACACTTGCAAGAGCAAATCCACGAGGAACCCTCTCCTTAAGTGGACGGTGGGCGAGGGGGCCCTCAACGAGTTTGCTTTCTCCCCAGATGGCAAGTTCTTAGCGTGCGTGAGCCAGGACGGGTTTCTGCGGGTGTTCAACTTCGACTCGGTGGAGCTGCACGGTACAATGAAAAGCTACTTTGGGGGCTTGCTTTGTGTGTGCTGGAGCCCAGACGGCAAGTACATTGTGACAGGTGGAGAGGACGACTTGGTGACAGTCTGGTCCTTTCTAGACTGCCGAGTAATAGCTAGAGGCCACGGGCACAAATCCTGGGTCAGCGTTGTGGCATTTGATCCCTATACTACGAGTGTAGAAGAGAGCGGCCCTATGGAGTTCAGCGGCAGCGACGAGGACTTCCAGGACCTTCTTCATTTTGGCAGAGATCGAGCGAACAGTACACAGTCTAGGCTTTCCAAACGGAACTCTACAGACAGCCGCCCCGTAAGTGTCACGTATCGGTTTGGTTCCGTGGGCCAGGATACACAGCTGTGTTTATGGGACCTTACAGAAGACATCCTTTTCCCGCACCAGCCCCTCTCGAGAGCAAGGACACATACAAATGTCATGAACGCCACCAGCCCTGCTGCAAGCAGTGGGAATAGTGTCGCAGCACCCGGCAACTCGGTGCCCCCCCCACTGCCGCGGTCCAACAGCCTTCCACACGCGGCAGTGTCTAACACCGGTAGCAGAAGCAGCGTCATGGACGGGACCGTCGCCTCTGGGGTCAGCAAGTTTGCCACTCTTTCGCTGCATGACCGGAAAGAGAGACACCACGAGAAAGACCACAAACGAAATCATAGCATGGGACACATTTCTAGCAAGAGCAGTGACAAACTGAATCTAGTTACTAAAGCCAAAACGGACCCAGCTAAAACCTTGGGAACACCCCTGTGTCCTCGGATGGAAGATGTTCCCTTGTTAGAGCCGCTGATCTGTAAAAAGATAGCACATGAAAGACTGACTGTATTAATTTTTCTTGAAGACTGTATAGTCACTGCTTGTCAGGAGGGATTTATTTGCACATGGGGAAGGCCTGGTAAAGTGGTAAGTTTTAACCCTTAATGCCGCACCAGATCTAGAACTTGGCTAGGTAGTGATTCTCTTCTCCCGGGAGGGTTGGGGTGTACAATGAATGTGAATGATGCTTCTACTCCTACTGTAAATCGAAATGCATCAGAGCCATAGTTTTGGATACTGCATGCCATGTAATTCTGAATCATTTGATAATTCACCTTAGAGCATTTAAAAAGATATATAATCTAATTGCCAGCCAAGTCAGTCACCCTCTGGAGTACATAGAGCCCCAAAGGTAGCACTCCTGTGTCAGACTGTTCCAACTTAGGGAAATCATGACAGACTTCAAAATGCTAAAGTCAAGACCTAGGCTTGAACTGGAATATTTTTGCATAACTACTCAAGTAGACTATTGTACACCTGATCAGCGTGTGTCCAGTACAGATGGCCATTAATTGTCATTTATAGTCCAATTTCTTAATCTTAAATCATAACATGTTTAGGAATCTGTGAAATTTAACTTTAGGAACAAAGTGTTCAGCAGGGTTGATTGATATTATTTTTACATTGTCTGGCAATCCACAGAAAGAGAAGAGCCTTAATTTTTAAAGCCCATTTTAGTCATTTTATGACAATTAAAATTGTTTAATAAACATCTTTTTTCAAAGAAGCAGTTTGTAGAATTCTGATTGAAATTGTGCACTGAAATCCCCATGTGTCCCAGAGCCTGGACCGTCAGCACAGGCTGTGGCCAGGACGCCAGGACAGTTGTCAGAAGGGCTTCGTGCCACAACAGCCAAGAGTCACATGTCAGATGTCCCTGGCGTATTTTTTCTCCCACCAAGGGGGAAGGAGGTTCTGTTTATTTTGTTGGGAGGGGGCTGTTTTTGTCTGGAGGTCGTGGGCAGGTGTTTGTGTAGACTGCTAGGTCCCAGGCTGCAGGGCACACCCCCACATGGCACTTGGGTGAGTTTGGTTCCCCCAGAGGGAAGCACAAGGATGAATTTCCCCTTTTCAGATTCTGGGCCTGCAATTGAGAGTCCAGGGCAACTCTTGGGATGCAGACGCCAGGCTAGGGCTTGGGGTCCCACCGCGAGCCTCTGGGAATCCTGGTAGCCATGCCCGTGCAAGAACAGTGCTGTGTGGACTCCCTAGGGCTGTGCTGGGAAACTACAGAGTTTGGCTCCAACTGCTTAGGTCCTGCTTAGCTACTCAAGGAGTTTCTTTTCAAATTCCAGTTTTCACAGTGGAGGAGAGATTTCTTTTTGTGTCAAGGTGATTGTTATTTGTTAGATTATTTGGGGCATTTAGGATTATTTTCTGTTTGCACACCTTTGTAATTAAATATAGCAGCAATGGTCATTTAGACTGGCCTGAGCAACGATGTGGCTCAGTAGTGAAGACCTGCAGTGCCAAGGCCCTGGTAGACAGTGCGGTCCTCTCCAGAAAACTGGCTGGCCCCAGGCCCCTTCCACGTGCCCCTACCCCACAGTGCTCCTCCATACAGCAGCTTGTGTTCCGTGTGATGGGGTGGAAGCATGCTCCCTCCTGTCAGGGCAGCCACGTCAGGGCATCTGTGTCCTGGAGCAGTGCTTCACTGGAATGCTGATGCCTTGTTTACTTTAAAACACATTCCTTTGTTCCTAAAGATTAACTGAGCTGAGGTAGCAAAGACTGCCATCCTGTAGACTGTCTCAGCTTTAGAGGCCGAATTGGGCTGCCAGGTTGGGGAGGTTAGCAATGAACACTTCATGCATGATTTATATACCCACATAGTGTTAGAAACTCACTGTCAAATGCTTCTGAGGCATTGAGTATGCAGTTTCCAAATTCAGGACTTTGTGTTTGGCTTAAATAGAGAGTGGCCACTCCTAGGTAAGTAACATCTGTGGTGACGCTTCTGTGACCTCTCAGTTCTGAAGGTGTCACTCACTGACAGGGGAGCCATGGCGTGTGCACCTGTGTGCAGCACAACTAATGGGCACATTCAGATTCCTGCCCTGGTAGCAGTCCCAGTCGAACCTGCTGGGATCAAGGGGGAATTGCTAGGGTGTGGGCAGGGTGACATAAGAGTCCACGTGCTGGTGGGAATGGGGGAGGCAGAACGAGAAGAGGGCACGAGTTCCCTGAAACAGGCCCTGCAGTGTCGTCCCATGGAGAGGCCTGTGGGTTCTTTTCTGTGTCCCCATGATACTGTCACAGTTTGTGATTGGGGCTTGGCAGCAATCTCTTCCTATTTCTGTTGATGGGTGTTGTATCTTTAATGTCTACCTGGAACCCTACTTGGGGCCCCTTTGCTGTCTCTTCCCTTCCTTTGGGTTCCCCTGCCAGGTTCAGGGCCTGGTGAGAGCCCAGGGTCAGCCCCAGGGAGGGCTGTCCCAGCTACATGACCTGGCCCAGACTGGCCCCTGCATGCAGGGCGATGCTGCTCAGGTCCACTCTGCCCCCCTGACTGACTCCTGCCCCCCTTTCTTTGACAGCCGGCAGAACACTTCTGCAGGCAGGAGGACAGAGTGCAAGGTGTTCTCCAAGACCAGAACTAAAGGTGCGGCAGCTCGAGAAGAGGGCACTGGGGGGCGGGTGGGCTCCCTTCCTCCGTGTGTTCCTGCAGACAGAGGTGGTTGGGTGCCATGGGGTCGCAGGGGTTGGTGGTTCCTAATCTCCAAAGAATGAGGCATGGTGCCACCCGCTCCCACAGTAGCCACCAAGAGAAACCTGGGGAGCATTTTTGGAGTTTTCTCACCGAACTTTGAGCCTCCTCATTGAAACTTTTCAGTGTACACATTATCATAAGCAGGAATAGAACAGAATAGAGCAGCTTTTGGCAGGAAGAGTTTCTTGCTATAGGCAGAAGTCACGTTTACATGGTACAATATAGCCCAGAGTCCTCAGAGGCCAAGGGAGAGGACACCCACTGCAGGGGCACCCTGCTACCTGCCCTGCTTGCAGCCACCAGCAGACCTTACTGCTTCTGACCCCAGAAGCCAGTGCGCACCACAGCTTCGGTGAAGTGGCCCGCTCCTCTACTTTTCTCTTTAATGTGCATGCTGCCAGGGATGGAGCCCAGGACCCACACTCCGGGCAGGCAGCTCCCCCTCTGAGCCACATCCCAGCCCTCTTGAGGGGCCCAGAAGTTGTGCCTTTCGTTCAAAACAGATGCTCCAGGGAGAATGGGCAATCCTTGTAGCCAGTAACTGGGCCACAACTCTAGCTACACAGCAGTGAAGAGCCCTAAGTTTGTCTCATTCACCTGAGAGCCACTTAGCGTCAGGACCTGGATGAATGCCTTTAGGAAAGCCCTAGAGGCAGGGTCTCAAAGATACTCAGAGAGCAGGTGAGACAAAGGGCCACAAGCTTTCCAGTTTGCATGTGTGCATGTCCCAGTAGTCACCTCCAGCGTTTGGTTTAAGACATTCCAGGCCTAGCTGGCAGCCAGCAGTTTCTCCCCACCCTTCCACATCCTGTGGTGTGTTGTGAACGCTCAAGAAAGGTCAGCCTAGCTGGCCACCTGCCCGCCTTCAATCCCAGCACTCGGGAGGCAGAGGCAGGCGGATCTCTGTGAGTTCGAGGCCAGCCTGGTCTACATAGTGAGTTCCAGGACAGCTGGGGCTACAGGGAGACCCTGTCTCAAAAAGACCAAAAACAAAAGGAAAGGCTAGGTTAGCCTATTGAATTTGTGCAGAAAGGGTGAACCCGCCTTAGCGCGTGCCTGTGTGTGTACAGGTCCTCTCACCTCTTGCTGGAGGGACATGGTTTCTTTCTTTGTTGAGCAAGCTCAAAGTGTAAAGAGGATCAAGCCCCAGGGCAGGGAGGGCCAGAGAAGAAATCCTGTGGAGACCCAAATACCGCATCTCTGATGCCCTAGAAAGAACTAGGAGCAGAGTTCAATGGCTGTTTTTTCCAGCGAGCGATCCAATCCGTGGAATGCAGAGGCTGTGCTCTGGGTGCGGACATGGCTAAAGGGGTCCATGACCCCTTATGCCTCTTGCACCAGTGAACGTGGGAGAAGAAGGGCTCAGGGCCAGCTGCCCCCTGCAGTGCGCACGCCCACTGTTCAGCTCTCACTCCTCTGCCACTCCTCCTTGTGCTTCTGTAGGTAGGTCTGATAATGACTTGGAGATGTGACCTTTGGTGGTCCAGGTTTGTTTACTAAGGTCAAGGTTGACCTGTCTACCCTGCTGTCCTGGGACTACATGGGGGCCACCCCACCCTGCCTTTATTTGTCCAGAGCATGCCTTTTTCCCTTGGGCTGACTAGACTACCACAGGCTGACTTAGGTTAACAAGGTGCTCATCAAAGTGCCACGTGGTGTCCCAGGGAGAGGAGACATCAGTCTGGCAGTCATGAAGCCTGTGGCTCACCATGTAAAGCAGTTGTATTCAATTGTTACCTTTGAAACTCAGACCCCAAATTCAAAACTGTAAGAACGTCTCCCTCTGACAGAGGGCAGCCGTCCCATGATGCTGAGTTTTTATTCATTGCTGCATTTGTTACATAAACTTTGTGTCATGGTTAAATTGCTATCTATTAAGTTAAAAGCGTAAAAGAAGGTTTTCTTGGATTTTAAATTTCTGTATACCTGAGTTTTTTAGAAGATTGTTACTAGGTGACATTATGTAATTGTACAGATATTTATCTTCAGTGAAAAGCAAAAACTCACATGTATTTCCTTTCCTACGTTTTCATCTAACCTCATCACAACTTGAATAAATTTCATAGAGCCTCTAACATGAACTATCAGTAAAGTAAGTTCTTAACTGTTGCGATGACTGATGAAACTTGAGTACCAAGAATGTCGCTTTATAATTCTAAGAAAATCATGTTTCGTTGCTTTGTTTTTTAGCCGTTGTCACTGCTACAGCTAGCGAGATCACATACTTGACATCCTGCAGTACTGGGGGCTGTCCTCTGTGTGTTGACATTAAATAAATGTGTGGATGCATTGGAAATGCAGATAATTTTCAATAGTCATTTTCACATCTAAGTTTAAAAAAAGAAATCTCAGCCAAAAATGAAAAGCTGTTAAATGCTAAGAGCCTTGGTGTTTGTAGAACAGATAAGCACCGAGTCACTCCCTCTCATCTCTGACTGTGTCTCTGTAATTAGCAGCTTACTGTGCTCACTGTATGGGGTGTTTACTGTATGGGGTGTTTACTTTGAGTGCCAGAGCTCCCGTTTTTGTTTCCCTTTCCACCTGAACCGTCTGAGGGAAGCTGTGGTTGCTTTTTCAGCTGAGCTGTGAAAAGGCTTCTGTGTAACATGAATGCTGACACTCCAAAGGTAGCCCAGCTACTCACTGGCTCTGCTGTGCATGGCCCTGCACCCCGCAGCCATCTAGCTGGTCGCTCCAGTGAGCTAAGAGCCCCGGCAAGAGCTCTTCCCCTGACAGATTCCCTGCCTCCCCACAGCTGGGCAATTGCGTGTGGGCGTGGTGGTGGCTGCTGTGGTCCTGCCTTTGAAGCCTGCTCAGAGCCCAGTGCAGCAGGAGCTGCTGGAGCAGGCAGTGGGCGACACTCCGCTGGGCCTAGGAAGCTCAGTGATGTCTAGTGTCCCGCTACGAAGCCTTGTCCCCAGGCTTCGCTGGCCACCTCCATCTCCCAAGTGCTTCCAAGCGAGCTTTGCAGGTGTAGAGCGCAACCCCGCTGGTCTCTGCCAGGGTGGAAGCATAGAGAGTCGGCTAGAACAAGGCTCCTTCTCAGGCGCTGGTGCCTCCTTCACCTGTCACTTCCCGGCTGTTTCCTGAGCCACCAGGCTCTTGCTTAGCTGCCTCTCCACCAGGCTGATGGCCTGCCCAGCCCTTGCTCCACCTCTCCACCCTCACCAGATGGCTCCAGGAGTTTCCACTCAGTTTGGGTGGAGCCAGCTGCATGTGCGGATCTCCGCTAGCTCCATAGTGCAGAGCAGAAGAGATGCTCAGGTCTGTGGCTCAAAGCCACTGCCCGGTCTCCCACCACAGGAGCTCCAAGAGCCTATTTCTTTTCTTTTGTTTTTTTTTGTTTCATTTATTTTATGTGTATGAATGTATTGCCTGCATGTATGTCAGTGCACCCATGTTGTACAATGCCGTGGAGGTCAGAAGAGGGCTTCGAAGCCTATTATCACTGAACAGGTTTAAAGCCCTAAAAGACAGGTTGCCAGCATGTTCTATTTTGTTTGCTTAAAGAAAACCATATATTCTGATTTTTTTAAAAAACACAACTGTGCTTTAAGATTATGACCATCAGCCCTCCAGCCTGTGGATTGCTGGTGTGTTCTAGGCCGTGGATCTGTGGCGCTCCCTCAGCCCCAGGGCTGTGCCTCCTTTTGGGTGGGAGTGAGCTGGAGACAGTTTAGGACCCCCTTTTCCTGCCTGCATAGACAACTTGAGGGTGCAGTAGGACACAGGGTGAGGGCCTTAACTGATGAGGGCTTTTCTCATAGTGCACAGTATTGGAGAAGCCCGTAGCTGATTGCACTCTTTTCTGTCTTTCCCTAGATGTCTGAAAACTATACCTATTTTCCCTTTTCTAACATCAGAGACCAGGTTGTGCGGCCCATCAGTGGATAGTTCAAGGCTGACCAAGGGACATAGCCTGCCGCCCAGCAGGAACCAGGGTCCCAGGCCCTTGGGCAGTGAGCCTTCTGAGGCAGGGATAGGTGTGGATACGGTGAGTGTCCTAAACCCAACTCACTCACTGAATCTGGAGACCCACCTCATTCCTGTACCAGGGTAACAAAGACTGGTGGCTCTCTGTCCAGGTTTCTCTGGTCTTTTGGTAGGAGGTTTGCATAGTGGAGCGGTGGCATCATTAGAGTGAGCAGTTAAGGGGTAGGAACAGGAGACAGCAGCATGAGATGTTTCTCATCGCTTGTGCCGTTCTGAGAGGCGTCGGTTTACACAATTGCTCAGCTCTTGGCCTCCACCTGAGAGGAGTCACTGCTGGCGTGCCTGGAGTGTCCCTGAGCAGGAGTCTCCAGGGTCAGCCTGTCCTCAGCCGAGACAGGTGGGCCAGCGCTCCCTCGGAGGCAGTGGTGTAAGGCAAACTCTCATCCCCTTTCCTGCAGCTGTCAGAAGCTGGCTTGCATGTTACTTTGTTTGGAGTTGGGTGACCAGGTAAATCGGCCTTCAGCCCTGACTTCCATACCTCATCCTACAGCTGTCCCCTTGAGGTCCTACCCTTTCAGAAGTTTATGGCCAAAGGTTGCTGAAGTCAGTGCAGCTCTCCCAGGATCCAGAACTGGAGGCAGTGTGGGCCCAACAGAACATCAGAGCACGTCCTTGCTCTGGCATAGTATTGTGGCCCACCATCGGAACCTCCCGTCTCAGTAGCACCCACTAGGGTAGGAACCTGGACATGGTCCTTTGTTGTAAGTGCTTTTAAAGCCAAAATACTGTTTTTACTTGTCTCCTCTGGTGAAGACAAGGCAAGCTTCTATTAGCTCCGTATTGTGAATTGGAATCCAACCCAAACTGAGCCCTGGAGTATTTCATTACTTAAATTTTGAAATGAAATCTCCAATAACATTGGCAACTTTGGTAAGACCAGAAAAGCTTATTGACCATTCAAGAATTGTAAATCCCTAAAATAGGCTTTCTCCCTGGGGTAGTAGGACACTGTGCAGGTTTTCTGCCAGAGACCAGCACTTGCTGTGCCAGCTCTGGGACACACCCAGCAGGTGTACAAGCTCCTGTCAAAGCTCTTACTGCTGTGCGACCTCAGCTGGGCCCTGATCTCTACCCATTGCTCCAAGGAAAGGAATCAGAAGGGCGAATAAAGCAGCACTCTGCCCAGAGCATGGGTAGCCTGGGGCTGCGGGTCACGGTGTGCTTTGTGTAATACTTCGAGTGAATTTTAAAATGTGCTTCACACCGATCTTCACAGAAACAGAGTGCCCAAGCTTCCCCCAGCTATCTAGATTCGCCTAAGTTGGGATTTCCTGGTTCCCCTTCCACTCCTGACAATCTTTACACTAAAGCCTAGGATTATGGTCATAGGCTAGGCTGTAGCTCAGTGTCCAACTCCAAAAAGAAAGAAGATGACATTTATACTTAAGGGAGCAGGGGTTTGATACCCGGTCTCTCATAGCCCAGGCTGGCCTTAAATTTGCTGTATAGCTGAATGACCTTGAAATTCCTGGTCTTTCTGCTTCTACCTCCTAAGTGGGATTACAGGTCCGCACCACCACACCCAGCCTTACATTTTCTTTGGAATGCCACCCCTGCACCACCAATGCCTCCACTGTCCATTATGCAAAACAGCTGCATCTCTTAGGTGTTGAGGTCAAGGTCCAATGACTACTAGGGCTCTAGACATCTAGATGCTAGTGCTGAGCAGGCTCTGACCCTAGGCTGAAGGCTTTTCCCTCTTCCACCCTACGTTCAATTTCTGGCCTATGGAGTGCTTCCTGGGAAATGTGAGCCATCTGCTCATGTCCCTGCCAGGCCAGGGAACTGGAGGCTAGGCCTATCTGGTCCACTTCTCCACCCATTAGCCAGAGTTCTTCTGGCCCTCACCCCATGGCCATGCCTGACACTAAGCTGCTTTCCAGGGCTGACAGAGCAGGAGTCCAGCCCCCATCAGAGCCTGATCCCCTGGCATGCAAGTATAGATTGCAGAAGTTGAAAGGATAGATTTGTCTGGGCTTGGCTGAGTAGACTTGAAGTTTGTTCCCTTGGCCTAGTGGCCAGGGGAAGACACACTGGCACGAAAGGGCTGGTTGTCCTTGGCTCCTGAGCACCAGACAGGATTTTAGGGCCTTAACAAGGAGATGGTTGGCCAATGGACGCAGTCTGTCCCTACTAACTTCAGGATGTAGAAGCCTGGAGTCCTGGTGGCCTATGTCTATGGGAACCCCCATCCCCAGTCACAAGGCAGACTGCCGAGCCCACCGAGGGAGCACTCAATGCAGGAGGGCAGAGGGTGGTCCAACCCTTGCTGACTCCCGTGGCAGTCATGAGCCACATCACCACCAAAAATGGATCCTGTTCAAGTTGAAGTGTGCTGTCTCACACGCAGTGTACTACAAAGCTGTATACCCTCCGCCCCCCCGTCAATTTTTATTTTGATCACGGAATTTGGACTATATTCAGTTAAAAATTATTTTTACTGATTTTTAAATCATTAGCTATTGTTAAAATTGTGCCTTTCATGTTTGGCTGGCAGTAGTTTTCCATTGGCCGGCTCTGGTCAGTGTCGAAGTAATACCTCACAACAGGGCGTGTAATGGCCACTTCCCTTGCAATGGTGGGCCAAGGCTTAAGTGGCCGCTGCGTGGTGCTGCTCTCACTGCCTTGGTGAGTTTGTACGGAGGCACAGAGGGCGTGGCTCTTTGTTGCACTGTCCAAGCGGGGCTCTGTCCCCAGCAAGGGTCAAAGAGGAAGGAAGAGCCGCTGCAGATGCCAAATGGGACCAACTGCTGTATCTTGCTTCCTGGTCTCGTCTAGACCAACAGATTTCAGATCTGAGATAAAAACTAGAGGCTACACAGCCTGGCATGGGCCAGCTGCTGCCCGCTCCCTCCAGGGTACGAAGCTCACTCCATTCCAGAGTGTCACCCCACATTTCTGTCAGTTCGAGTCTGAGAAAATGCAGCAGTGTTCCCTTAGATCTGTAAAAAGTATTCATCAAGTAAATACTTTTTTAGAACTTAGGATAAGTTTGTTTCCATGGAGCCGAGTATATAGCTCTAGTGCTGAACTATTAGAAATCTTCAAATTACTCTGAGCACCAGACTGACGGAACTGCACATCCTAGTAATCAATGCAAAGGAATAGTGGTACCTTGTCTATTTGACATGACACTGGGCAGGACAGGTGTTCCCTGGGCTTGCTGCCATGGTGGCCAGTTTGTGGTGGCCATTGTGTGGTGGGGGGCTCCTTCTCCTCCTCTTCCCCAGTGCAGCTCAGGACTCGCCACCCAGGCCTGATCCCACTTTCTGTACCTGCAGTGCCTGTTCACTGGAGGCCAGCCAAAGCTGGGCTATGATCTTGGCACCTGCAACAAGAAAGCAGGCACCCTAACTGACGTGCCTTTTTGGTCTTTCTGAGACAGGGAACTCGCTCTGTAGACCAGGCTGGCCTCAAACTCAGAGATCTGCCTGCCTCTGCCTCCCAAATGCTGGGCTAACATGTCTTTTCAAAAGTGCCACTAGATTCTGTCTTTGGAGGCCCACAGGCTCCAAAGGCCTGGGCTGTACCTGGCAGGCACTGGCAGTGGTGCTAGTGACCCTCTCTTGCAGGTTCAAGCCACAATCCCTCCTGAAGGCTCTGATGGTCTTCAGGAAGCATCTCCACTTTGGGCCAGTGACCTTCCAAAGAACCCAGTCTCCTTCCTTGACCTTTGTAGTGGGTGTCGAGGCTGAGGAATTAGCTAGGTAGAATGGAGAGTGTGTTAAACCTGGCTCCCAACCCACAGAGAGGCCCTCGAGCCTGAGGACTGCAGGAGGTAGAGCACAGGGCTTGCCGCTGCCCTGTGTCTTGCTGGATTAATGTAAACTGCTTTGTTTGCAGGGTTTATTGTCATCCCCAAACCAGGCCCGTTCTCCAGGTGGAACTGTAGTGTAGCGACCCACTGGTGCTCCCAGACTCCCCAGAATGCACGAAGATGGAGTGACCAATGATGACGACGATGACGACGATGGAGCCATGAGCTGCACTGGAGCCACATGCGGGGCAGGCCTCGGGTGGCCTCGGGCGGGGTGGCCTGGGGGCTGTGCGGAGCGCTCACCCAAAGAGTTGTTTCCATTTTTAAGTCAGTCTCTTGGGGCTGTAGCAAAAAATGAGAGATGGGTTTTCTTCTTGCTTTTTACTTCAAATTCAATGTAACTAAATAACATATAATATATATACATATATACATAGTGTAAAGTAAAATGTTTCTTGGACAAGAAACCTTAAATTCAGCTGTTATAAATAGAACTTCACTGTTTGGTTTTGCACTGACCTTTTTTAAACTTTAGTGGTCAGAGGACAACCCGGGACGCACGGGATGCACTTGTAACAGAAGTTGCCACCTGACTTAAATGTGTAATTCAGAAAGACAGATGCTGCAATCGTAGATTTTTAAAATGGCACTTAAAATGGTTTAATGCTGATAGAAAGTGACTGAATACAGGGGTGGTGGGCTCCTGGCCAACCAGGATAATGGAGGAAAGAGGCCCTTTCTATCTGTTAACATTTATTTTAATACTATTGTTTCAATGCAATCAAGTCTGTATATGTGTAAATACTGTAACTCTGCAATGGGGGAAATAGTTACTTCACTAGCAATTTTCATCATTTAAGAGTGATATTTCTAATTCACAAAAACATTAATATTAAAATTATCTTGAATATACTATTTGTTTATGTTTTGTTAGACCAACTTCATTTTGAGTGGTTTTTTCCCTAATTCATTAGTTGGTCTGTAATTATTTCATCTGTACATCACATTCCTTGAACCCTTTCTGTTTGTCTGATGTAAAACAGGAACATGACTCATTTGAGATCTTGGCCCTGGGCCCCTCATCACAGGTCGCAGTCCACCCCACTGTGGGAGCTGCCAAGGCATGTAGACTTGGTGTCAGCACGTGGCCTTTCCTTGTAGCCCAGTCTGCTTGATGTCCTTCAAAGCTGGACCCATATCTATAAGTTTCCACACTGTGAGAGGGCTTCCAGAGGGTTGACCACAGTGGGTCTGCATTGCTGCTGCAGGTGATCACTGAAGACGTGCCCAGGGTCTACACCACCCAGCTGGGTCCTTCAAAGTCATTCCATGGTATCTGAAACACCGCTCAGTAGCCCCGTTGAATTGTGAGTGCACAGGGCGCTGTGACAGCACAGACCACACCAGTGCAGGCCAGGCTACTTTCTCTGTGCTAACCTTAGGTTCTGCAGCTGGGCCATCCCAGACTGGGAAAATCATGCCTTCCTCTGCTGCGTGTAGGGCCTGAGACCAGCCAAAGCTTGGGAAGGCTTAAATAAGATGCTAAGGCTACACTTTCTTCTCTCTCTCTCTCTCTCTCTCTCTCTCTCTCTCTCTCTCTCGCCCCCCGCCCCACTGTTCTGTTCTGACAAGCCCAGGTTGGCCTCAAACTCACAGCAGTCCCTCTCTCAGCTTCCCCAAGTCCATGGATGGCAGGCATGTGTCCTCATGCCTGGCTGAAGATTATTTGGCTTCTGTTACTTGTGGGTGCGTGCATGCGTGTGTGCATGTCTAGGTTAGAGAACAACTGTGGGGGGACTCTCCTTCCACCATGTAGGTTCTGGGGGGTCAGCCTTTGGTCTCGAGTCCCAGGGCAAGCACCTTTCCCACTGAGCCATCTCATGGCCCCCAAGACTCACTGTTTAAGTAAAAGAATTTATAAATCATACACTGAGAATGAGCATATATGAATCGAGTGTTAGCATATTTTAGATAGTTTTGTGTTCCTGTCACTTTGAAGCCGTGGTTACACATAAAAACTCAGCCCTTTGAGGGTCCAAAACCCTTTCAGGAAAGTGAGAAGGAACTGCCCTTGAAAACTGGCTCTTGATCCTCCTTGTCCGTAGAAGTGACAGGTGGAAATCGGGTTGACATCAGGGCAGCAATTACTCAGTGTGAAAACTGAGCGGCGTTTGACAGATGACCCTGTTGTACTGCACAGCTCTCTCGGACCTGGAGATCGCCGCCTTGGGTCCCCTGGTCTTTTGCCCTGCCTCTGACCAGCAAGTCACCCTTTGTTTTCATTTGGCCTGCTGCACGAAAGCTGTCACATGTGTCCCAGTTTACCAGAGATGACTGTGCCAGGAGCAAAGCTTTTTGGCTTTGTTCCCAAGATTAGTCCCCAGCCAAGTGGTTCAAGATGCCTTCCAAATGGTCTTGTAAATGCCCCAACGCTATGAACACACAGCATCCAGCAGGCCCTGGGGCCACAGAAGGTGAGAGCTCAGCTTACCTGGTTCTATGGGTGAGCACTGCTCCACACGTGGGGTCTGGTTCTAAAGGAAGCTGGAAAGAAGGGGCAGTATAGATGTGGTGTCCAGCTGGGCTCTAGCTGTCCATACAGCACACTCACTGCATTCAGGTGTGGCCCGGTAAAGGCCACCTCACGAGGGTTGCTTTCCCCTGGAGCAGCAGAGCAGGAAATAATCACAATGGTACCAAGCTGCGGCTCCAAGCTGAGGTGTAGATGGGTTTACAACACTAAGCAGACAGTGTGTGACTCCTCACGCTGGGATGTCTGCATGTCATCTCTGCCCCAATCTACCAACAGGCCCCATGTTGTCCTGCCCCATCCTCTTCTGAGGTCAGGCAGCCATGGGTGCAGGAGGGCAGTGCAGGCAGGAGCCAGTCGGCAGGGTCCCGGAACGAGCAGACATTTAACAGGTGGAAATGGAGAAAGGGTGATTCCCTTGTCCTTCCATCCCAGAAGGCTGTGGTAACAATTCAAACGCTTGGGGAAAAGTTAAATGATGTGGCTGGACAACCTGCACCCCCTTTTCCCAGTTTCCTGGAGACCTGCGAGGGCTCTTACAGCAGGGTCTGGTGGACTCCTATATGCTTGAGCCTGCCTGGCCCCTGTGCACGCAGTCTGGCCAGCACTACCCACAGTGGGGAAGAGAGCTACCAGCCACTGGAGCTGCCGTGGGCCCCTTGATCCTGCTGAGAGCAAGCATGGGCGATGACATCAAGTGCAGGAAACCCGAGTGCCCACAAGGGGTCTGATGGGTGGGCTGGGCAGGTGTGCCCGTCCCACAGGGCAGGGAAAGCCAGGTTCCCTTGCTGCAGCCCCTCCCTGGACTGGATAAGTTCCTAAGCCTCACATCTAGTATTGAGCCTGCCTGTGCTGGGTGTCCTGCCATGCTCCATGCCCACACTGCCTGTGCTGGGCGTCCTGCGATGCTCCATGCCCACACTGCCTGTGCTGGGCGTCCTGTGATGCTCCATGCCCACACTGCCATAGCACTACCATCTCTCTGCTGTCCCACCATCCCCCTTCTCCATTCTGGCTGTCCTTTGGCTCCTGGCACTGCCCTACCAACCACATATCAGGTGGGCTGGGGCTTGAGCCAGTAGAGTGCTGAAGGAAGGGGTCATAAATTTGAGACTAAACACTTACCTGGAAAATTCAGCTTTTAAATATTGAGCCAGGCATGGCGACTCATGCACCTTTAATCCCGGCACTAGAGAGAGGCAGATCTTTGTCAGTTCCAGGCTAGCCTGGACTACACAGTGAGTTCAAGGCCAGCCAGAGCTACATAGCAAGACCCTGTCTCAAACAGCAAAACAAATTGTAAGTTTAGAAGATAATAAAAGGGCTGGAGAGATGGCTCAGCAATTAAGATTCCTTCCTGGTCTTCCAGGGGACCTGAGTGTCGGTTCCTAGCACTGACATCAAGTGGTTCACAACTGCCTGTAACTCTAGCTCCAGAGGATTTGATGCCCTTCTTCAGACCTCTGCAGGCACATGCACATACACACACAGAGAGACACATACACAAAGTTTTTTGAAAAGATAAGAAAGGGGCCAGGTGTGGCGGCACATGTCTTTAATCCCAGCGCTTGAGAGGCAGAGGCAATCTCTGTGAGTTCAAGGCCAACTGGGGCTACAGGGAGACCCTGTCTCAAAAAAACCAAAAACTAAAGGCACACTCAATTCCTATGTTACATTTCAAACAAAAAGGGTTCAGCAGAGGCTAGGGTATGGCTCTGTGGCTGAGGGCTTACCTAGAGGGCATGAGGCCCTAGATTCCATCCCCAACACTGAGAAAGGAAAAACAAAAGCCAAGAGGCTTAGAAAAGGACCTTGTCCCTGTGACCAGGTGCCTGGCCAGTGCCTGCCTTTGAGTCCATTCAGTGCCCTTCCTTTCCTGTAGTGAAACAGGTGTGTGTGTGTGTATGTGTCCATATGTATGCACGTTGTGCACGTGCAGTAGCGTGTGCACCTATATATGGACACAGAGGCCACAGGAGGCTCTCAGGTGCCCTCTAGCCTCTCCCCCTCCCCCTTCCCTCAAATCTCACTGAACCTGGACCTTGCCATCTTTGGCTAGGTTAGTGTCCGGCAAGCCCTGGACAGCCTCCTGTCTTTGTCCTATTTTGCTGCCCCCGCTCCAGTGATGAGGTTAACGGGATGTAGCCATAACCAGGTTTTTATATGGATGCTATGGATCCGAATTCAATTCCTCATGCCTATTCAGCAAGCACTCTTACCCACTGAGCCATCCCCCAACCTCAGGCTTCTTTTGTGGCTCCAAGCAACGCAGGCAACCAGGCAGTTGGCACTGCATGGCCAGAGGAGCCTAGATCCTGGCAGCCAAGGTAACATGGTCGTCGGAGCTGGCACTTTAGAGGAATGCCAGGCCTGCTGTGCTGCTGAGATGCCACTCACCCAGTTGTGGCTCCGGAAAGCTAAAGGGAATGGCTAGTAACGATGCATTTAAGTCAGAGCGTTAAGATGAAACACTGCAATACCTTTTTAATAAAGATCAGCCGTCTCCAACAGCATCACGTGTGAGGTGCCACACACACCAGAACACCTGACAGTCCTATTGGTAAAACACGGGGGTGTAACATGCAGAGCTGCCTCTCAAGTAAGCCGAAGTGATTCACCAGAGATTTTAGTCTATTTGTATTGAGGCAAGGATGTTCAGTATGTAGCTCAGGCTGGGCTTCCCCTGCCTCCACCTCCCACATCTGGAATTGCAGGCATGAGCTACAATGCCCAGCCTCATGTTTTGATCATATAAAAAGTCCTAAAATACTCCGCACCTCAATTCTTACATGATGAGAAGAAAATAAACCCTCGAATGTGGTGGTTTTACAAATATATTAAATGGAACATACAGGTACAGTTGCTGTGGGGCTGGTTGCAAACACACGTGGCTCCAGGCCGTGGGTGCAGGTAGGCTCCGAGGCGGCTCGTCCTGGGCTACCAGGTACTGTGGGTGTGTCAGCGCAGGGCATCCTCTGGCTCATCCACTCTTAGCCACAGAGGCCTGGGCCTGCACATGGCACCTTCTCCCTCTCCAAGAGTGACCTGCTGGCATGCTGCTCAGTATTCACCCCCTTTCCTGTTGATCGTGGGCAGATGGTACTGTTTCAGGTTAGGTTTGATGACCTTCTGAGTGTCTGTCTGGTAAAGAAGAACCACAGACACTGAGTAGAGGCCAAAACCAGGCCCTGCAGCAGCCCCACACCGAAGAAAAGCTAGAGGTGAGCTACCTTCTTGTTCACACCTGCACACTTGGGGGGTCTCAACACTGGGACTCTTCCATTTGTTCCAGCACCCAACACCGACCGCAGCATGGGGCCGGAACATGATGGCAGTCTGGTCATTCCTGAAAGCCTCAGTTTCGGCAGCTTCATCAAGCTGGCCGGGCCTTGTCTTCCGGCATTGTCCTCCTCTTGCCTCAGGGGCTGCTGCTTGAAACAACACAGATCAGTCCCTTTCATGGGACTCAGGACAAGCAAAAGAGGCTCTTTTGCCTCCTCAAACTTCCTGGCTGGAGCCAGGGTGGCAACCCTATGGTGAACAGACACCCACAGGGGCAGTGGCAGCCCTCTGGTACCCCACAGGCAGGGGCAGTGCCTCCCATGAGTCCTCTTGTATCCTGAAGCCTATCAAGCACTGGCCCTCAGCGTGACCTCCACTGTGTGGCCCAAGCTGGAGAGGCTAAGGCTGAGTGCCTGTCAATTCTCTGTAAGTTGATGGATGAGTACAGGTTTGAAGCACTCTAGGGGACTGCCCACCACCTGGTCTGCCCCAGTATGCTTTTATTTTTTAGTCTTTTTTGAGACAGCGTATCCCTGTAGCCACAGCTGTCCTAGAACTCACTAAGTAGACCAGGCTGGCCTTGAATTCACAGAGATCAGCCTGCCCAGCACGCTTTTCTTTTTTTTTCTTTATATTTTATTTATTATTTTTATGTGTATGAGTGTATTGCCTGCATGTAGGTAAGTGCTCCCGAGTCATGCAATGCCCATGGAGAACAGAAGAGACTGTCGGATCCCCTGGAACTGGAGTTAAGTACGGATAGTTGTTAGCTGTCATGTAGGTGCTGTGATTCAAACCTGGATTTTCTGCAAGAAGAGTCAGTATTTTTAACCGCTGAGCCATCTCTCCAGCCCCCCCAGCATGCTTTTCTACTGCTGCAGACTAAGAACTGCTTCTTTTTCTCTTTTTTGATACAGGGTCTTACTATGTACCACTGACTGGCCTCAAACTCAGAGATCTGCATGCCTCTGCCTCCTGAGTGCTGGGATTAAATGGTGGTTTCTGCATGTTTTAAAAATATTTTATTTATTATTTTTATTTTATGTGTACGAGTGTATCACCTGCATGTATGTGAGTGCACCCGTGTCATGCAATGCTGCGGAGGTCAGAAGAGGGCTTCGGATTCCCCTGGGACTGGAGTTAAGGATGGTTTGTAGCCACCATGTGGGTGCTGAGAATCAAACCCGGGTCCTCTGCAGGAGCAGTCAGTGCTGTTAACTGCAGGGCCATCTCTCCAGCCCCAGGTTTCTGCATTTTTTTTAAGGATTGAAAAAAAAAAAAATTTCAGGGCTTTGAAGAGACTGCAGACCGCAAATGTCCACATTTGGGCAAGTATAGGTGCTGCCGCCTCAGGGGCCTCATGTAAGGTGTGGCTGTCACACCACACCCAGGATAGGTATGGTTTGCAAGTCCTCAAGCAGCTCCTCTCTGGCTTTCAGAAAGTAGTGCCTTCAGTGCTGGAGAGATGGCTCAGTGGTTAGAGCACTGACTGCTTTTGCAGAGGACCCAGGTTCAGTTCCAGCACCCACATGGCAGCTCACAGCTGTCTCGAACTCGTTTCAGGGGACTGGATGCCCTTTTCTGACATTGCATGATGGGGTGTACTTATATACATGCAGGAAAACACTCATACACATAAAAATAATTTTTGAAAATAGTAGTGCTCACTTCTCATGTGACTGGAAGTGGGACTTTGGAACGGGGAAATCAGACATCAGACAATGAGTTGAGGGCAGGGGGTGCAGCAGTGTGGGCAGGTAGGAGGCTATCTGTAGTGACGGGAGCTGAGGGAGGAGCAGCCAAGGTGGGCCCAGGCAGCTGAGAAGCCATGGGGAAGAACAGTCTTGGGGAGAGCAGGAGATGGTCCTGCACAAAGTTCGCCTGGTAGGCATGCAGAGGCTGTGTCTATAGGCCTGGACACGGCAATCAAGGCTCTGGTAGCCATTCTGGCTACAAGTGGATCCATGTTCTCAGCTGCCAGTAAGGACAGAGCCCTCGATAAAGACGGGATGAGCAACTGATGAGTGGGTGGCTTCGGGTGCTGGCTAGCCTGAACTGGGCACTGGTGCCATGTGCCAGGTGAAAAGACCACAGGGTGAAGCTCCCTCACTGGCAGGAAGCACGCACAACGCTCCAGGCTGGCTGGCGGGTGCTCCTAGGCCTGCTGTGCTCATCAGCCATAGCCAGGGGCTACATGGCATCTATACCTCCTGCCAGGGTTGTTTTCAGGATATAAGCAGGTGTGTCTGCAAAGGGCTTTGGCACAGAATGAACACCTGTGCATGGCCATCACTTGTGGGAGGGTCTTCTCTCTGGGCTTACTCCTACTGGTAGCCTTGGATCTGTAGATGTGGGCAGAAAGGGCCTGGGTAGTTAGAACCAGGCCTCACAGGGCAACTAAACTACCCCTAACGGGAGACCGGACGCAGCTGACAAGGCACTGTCTCCAGCTCAGATGGAACACCGTCCTCCACAGGTGGCAGCCTCCTCAGACACAGGCCACCTGGTGGCACCCAGGGCCTACCCAACTTACTGCTTTCAGCCTGTACCTGCGCTCTGCCATCCTTTGAGAACAACCAGTTGTGACCTAGTGGCTCTGGTGCCACGGGCTTCTGGGGGAAGTGAGTTCTGCGGTTGGCGGGGGCCTGCGTCTCAGTCGCCCTACTGGGGAGGAGAAGAGAGTGACAGACTCTGCTGAGGGCAACCCTATCTGCACTGGGAGTTCAGGCTACCTGAACTATGGGTGGTAATTTGCACGGCCCACCTGGGGACCAAACTGCTACCTTGACAGTCAAATTCAGGAGCGTGCAGCCGTGTGAAGGCAGATGCCTGGGCAAGCACCTCCTACGCTCTCACTTGGCAGGCGCCTCCAGAGCTAGGTAACACGCAGGTCACTCTACAGACACTGTCACCCTGGATGTGCACCAGGCTCTTCTAGCATGCTTACCTCCTGGAGCCTTGGCATTCACCCCAACACAGGCACACAGCCTCCTTCCCTGCCAGGAAGCTGCCAAGTCTCATTTAGGCGGGGGGGCAGGGTTCCCAAGAGACAACGACCACTTAGAATAGACTGTTCCCAGGACTAGGGGACCCTTCACAGGCCAGTCCTTTGCCACAGGGGTCTCAGGAGCCAAGGCTTCCCACCCGTCACGAGGCAGTGCACAGAACGCCTACCTCTGTGCCTGGAAGTAAGGGTGCTGCAAGGCTTGGTGGGCTGCAATTCGCTCGTCAGGGTCATAGGCCACCATTGCATGCAGGAGCGAGAGGCATTGCGGGGACAAATTGGTTGTCAGTAGAGGTATTCCTGATCCCTTTTTAAAAGGAAAATCAAAACTCATAGCTCTCGACCTGTATTGAAAGCCCAATGATAATAAACCATCACGTCATTATTAGAGCACCGGCTGGTTATCACCCTGACTCTAAGGGACCCACACAGAAGGTAAGTTCACCGTCTCCACAGGGAGCAAGTCAGGCCAGGTGTGGTGTGCAGGCCTGTGTGGCACTTCAGCCACAGAGGTAGGGAGGTCAGGAGTTCAAGGTTAGGCTTTTTAAAAAGTGGGGGGAGTGGGTCAGAGAACTGGGTTCTTTAACCACCAGAGCAAATCCAACCATGCCAAGGGCTCTGGGGGATCTCAACGGTCAGTGCAGGTTCACCCACTATATGAAACACACCACTCTGAGGCTGCACAGTGGGGAGGCTGTGAAAGGGAGCTGGGAGCTTTCTGCATCCCCTGCTTCATTTTGCTGTGAACTAAAACTACTACAACAAATAGTCTCCCCAAAGGGATGTGTACTGCAAACATAAGCAGACTCTCTTCCTTAGCAAAGTACATCATCACCTTCCCATAAGAGAAAAATGAAGTTAAATGGAGAAAATGGGAGGAAGCATATCTCCTGCCTTCCAGATCAGAGGCTTCTGGGAGACCTCCTCTCTCAAGCCCCCGAACCCTGCAGGCTTCATCTATCATCAAAATAAACCCCAATGGGGCTGCAGGGGCCTAGTCTGGGCATCACTGTCACCCTCTGGCTATGGGTGGGCAGCCCCAGAAAGTCCTCCTGGACAGCCTTTCTGAGGCAGGCAATGGTTCTCACCAAGCATACCCAAGTCCTATATAAATATTCTGGAGATAAAAATCAATTCCAGACCCTCCAAAAGACCATGAGAACTTTCTGTGACACTCAAAGATATGCTTGGGAGAGAGAATACAGCTCTGTTGAACCCCAAAGACACCGGCTGGCTCCCCTTTCATAGTAGCGGGAGCCCAAATGGGTGCACAGCCCACAAAATGCCATGGGGTCACAGAGACAGCTCGCCTAGAGCCAGTCCTGGCCTGCTGTAGAAAGGCCGAGGCCGGGCCAGTGAGTCCACGTTAGTCCCTTGGGGCACGTCATACTTACTGTTTGAACTTGTTGAGGGTCTTCTGACAAGGTGTACCGATGACATCATGGATTTTTGCGATCTGGTCCAGTTCATTCACACCAGGGAAAAGGGGCTGCAGGCTGCAGAGGTGTGCCAAGGGACAATGTGATGAGCCCAGGGATGCAGGCCTCCTACAGGGCTGGCCTCCCCCATGGGGTCAGTCCACAGAAATAAGCCTCACTCACAGCAAGTCTCTGGGCTGGAGACTACATTCTTCCTTTGACCGAGTCCTCCCTATGGTCTTGCATTTCCAAGAGACAAGCCACACCCCCCCACACTCCTTTGTTCAATACCCTATTTCTCTACAACAAAATGCTACAAACCACAGGACCCTCCTGTTAGCCAAGGGCCTTTGGCTCAGGGTGCAGTATGTCAAGCCTTGTTGGCAAGTGAGTTCCAAGAAACCTTTTAGTTTTCAAAGTTTTTATGACTGGGGGATACAGGTGAAGACTTAAACCTAAATGTGTAAACTCAGTCTGCCTTCCATGCCACAATAAGACTGAAAATAGAACTCTGGCAGTTAGACTAGCTTTGCGCCCCAAGGAAGGGGCCAATGTGAGAGGGCAGGAACCAGCTCTGAGGCAGGACAGGCTGTCAAAGCCCAGCAGGTTTAGTAATAGACTCGCCTGAGGCTGCCCAACTCTGCTGGGACGGCACTTGCTGCCGCTGGTGCTCTCAGCTTCAGTAAAGTTATGGCTGGGCTTTCCAAACAGCATGTTGCCAGTGTGAGCACATGGAGCCAAGGCAGGTATGTCCTGAAATGCCAGCGGTCATAAGAGCAGGTGGGACTGGGTGACACCTCACTTAAAGATCCACTGTGGGCGACGTGCCACCCGCCCCTCCCTGGGCTCTTAGGTGCTAGACCACTCACCAGTGAATGGGACAAACCCTCAGCCTGTCCCCAACCACTGTTTCCCCCAGATATGGAGTCAAAAGGTCAGAGGAAGGGGCTGGGCAACAGAGGAGAGATGGCTGGGCCTAGGGTTTTCTAGAAGCATCCAGTTGTGTTGGAAAGTGCCCCATTCTCACATTGTGGCTGTATACCCTACTTGCTATGACTGTGCCTCTCAAGGGTGAGCCTTGGAGGCTACTCTCTCACCTGACCATGGCAGACCCAAAGGGAGCCTTTGCAGCCTGTGCTCTTGAACCCTGTGGTCACCTCATGATCAAGAGACCCCCCAACTCCCCCAACATGGGGCCTGATGGTGATGGCTCCCCAGGAAGAGCAAGCAAGCACAAGCACTTGGCAAATCTAGAAAATAAGCCTAGAAAACTTCCTGGAGCTCATAGGAAGGAGCCTGAGCTGCCCTCACCCCTGCCTTGCCATGTGGCCTGCCCACGTCACTCTGTGAGGTGCATCAAGCACCCACTCTACCTGGCAATCTCATAGAACACGCAGCCAGCGCTCCAGAGGTCCATTTTGTACGTGTAGAACCCATCAGTGAGGAGACATTCTGGGGCCCGGTACCAGCGGGTGGAGATATACTCTGTGTAGGGCTGCTTGGAATAAACACTCCGGCAGGACCCGAAGTCCCCTAATTTCAGGACGTCCTGCTGCAAGGGGGAAGAAAGTGGGGCGAATACCATCTCACTATGCAGCTGCTGGCACACAACCATTTCAAGCTTTTACGTACTATAGAAAAAGTCCCAGCATCTAGGCGGCTTGAAAAACACGATAGGGGCCTTACAAACATGACAAGGGCTTTACAGAACCCCCCCCCAAGAGTGTCTCCAGTGGAGGGGAGGGAACATATTTACACACTTCCGTGTGTTCTGAAAACGGCTAAGTGCTCCCCTCAGCATCGCAAACACATTCCCTTAGCAGCTCCCAAGGCCACCTACTGGAGTGGCTCACTTCTGGCTTTACCTCACACAGGCCTCTTGCAGCCAAGTGGCTCCAGGGGACTCGGGATGGTGAGTCAGAAAGATGCAGGGAAAGCGTACACAGCACACTCTAAACTCAGTAGTGAAGATGACTTTGGTGGAAGCCCTCAAGGCTGAGACTTCTCAAATGTGGAGGGCCCTAAATCCACCCTTGCCACACTGACATTCATCAAAACAGCCATGTGTAGAGAGGAGCTGGCTGTTGTGCGGGACAGGCACCTAACATTGCATTCTTTCAGGGCTTAAGTCAATTATGTTGGCAGCTTTGAATAAATAAAACTTTTACAAACTGGGAAGAAAAAGAATCTAATAAAGCAGGCTGCGGATGTAGCTCAATGGCAGAACACACCTGCCTAGCATCAGTCAGGACCTATTCTGGCACCACAGAACCCGAGCCCAACCATGCTTTCCGATTATCTGGAACTGAAGAATCATTCAGTGAAAAAGTTTATAATCTGCAGTTATTCTGATACCAAGTTTTCATATAAAAGTCCTTACCACCGGCGTGGTGGCGCATACCTTTAACCTCAGCACTCCCGAGGTAGAGGCAGGCAGATCTCTGAGGGTGCAAGGCCAGCCTGGTCTACATAGCAAGGCCAGCTGGGGCTACAGGGAGACCCTGTCTCAAAAAGACAAAAAAAAATTCTTACCTTTACTAGAATATTTTCCGGTTTTACGTCTCTGTGAAATATTCCATTTCTGTAGTCAGTATTAAAAAAGAAAAAGTAGAATTAATTGTACCTCACTGATTAGATCCTTCAAACGAAGCTGTATTTTCTACCAGTGCTATTACAGTGCATCTGCTCGAGAGCTGCTCCCCGCACGTACCTGTGCATGTGGTCGAGGGATTTGCATAACTGGTACATGTAGTGCATAATTTTTTTTTCTGATAATGGGTGTCTTCTCCCTGTGTCATCAAGGAAATGGGCAGATGTGGTAATCAATGCCTCATACTCTCTTTGTGAAATAAAAATAGAGTTCATTGTCATTTTAATGGTATATGAAAACTAGCTTGGGGTGACAGCATAGTCCTGGAACCCTAGTACTTGGGAGGTGATGACGGGAAGCAGGAATTCAAGGTTCTCCTCCACTACACAGTGAGTTTGAGGCCAGCCTGACTCAAAAATAAAAAAATGTAAAAGTTTACAACAACTTAGGTTCCTCTCTGAAAAACAAGTTGAAATACTTTTAGGAAATATGGAATGTGCTTATAAAAGATACCACTTACTTTTTTACATTTATTTATTTATCGGGGGCAGAGGCATGCCATGGCGCACTTGTATGAATCATGTATAATCTGTGGGAGTCACTTCTCTCCTTCCATCATGTGGTTACGTGGATGGAACGCAGCTTATTAGGCTTGGCAGCAAGCACTTTTACCCACTGAGCCATCATGCCAGCCCACCATTTAAAATTTTATATACTAAGCTGGGCTTTTAAATATTTGATTTTTTTTTTTTTTCGTCTTTTTGAGACAGGGTCTCCCTGTAGCCCCAGCTGGCCTGGAATTCACTATGTAGACCAGGCTGGCCTTGAACTCACAGAGCTCTGCCTGCCTCTGCCTCCCAAGTGCTGGGATTAAAGGCGTGCACTACCACACCCAGCTTAAATATTTTGATTTTATGTATATTGAGTGTACTGCCTGCATGCATGTAAGTGTACCCAAGTCATGTAACACCCTCAGAGGTCCAAAAAGGGTGTTGGAATCCCCTGCAACTAGAGTTATGGACAGCTGTTAGCCATCATGTGGGTATTGGGAATTGAGCCTGGGTCATCACAGCCATCAAAGACTAAGACACAGGCTTTTAATCCCAGCATTTGGGAAGCAGAGGCAGACGGATTGCCATGCAATCAAGGCCAGCCTTGAATGGTCTACACAAAAGAATCTTACATACTGCCACAGTCTCATCTAGAGTCACCTAAGGCATGCATGTTGACTTCAGTGAGAACCGCACTGAGTGACAGTCACAAGGGTAATGTGGTCTGATCTGGAACCTTCCAGGATATTCCCCTTCAAAATTGTTCTTGAAATCAGAGTCATTTGAAAACCACATATCTGCTTGGGCGTCCTTCCTACATGAGGCTCTCCACTGTATTTATTATTATTATTATTTTTAATTCCATGTGTATGAGTGTTATACCTGCATGTAGGTGAGTGCACCCATGCTGTGCAATGCCTAAAGAGAACAGAAGAGGCTGTCGGATCCCCTGGAACTGGAGTTACGGACAGTTGTTAGCTGCCATGTGGGTGCTAGGATTTGAACCCAGGTCTTCTGCAAGAACAACCAGTGTTCTTAACCACTGAGCCATCTCTCCAGCCTTGTATTTATTATTTTGAAATGGTGTATCTCTATGTTGCCCAGGCTAGTCCGTAACTCCTGGGCTCAAGCAACCCTTCTGCCTCAGGTAAGACAGGCATGCACCATGGTGTTGGCCTGGATATCTCCATCTTAAAGGGCGAGGACCACAGTTCCGAAGAATGACCACCTCTGCTCTGGATTCCCAGTGCACACTACTCTCCTACACGCCCTTGGCCATTCAGATCAAGGTCCCTGATGCAGTGTCTGGTAACCATCTGAAGGCCACACCCTCCTTCCTTCCTATAGTTTTTCATCACAGTCTAAGCTCTCAGTACTCAACTTCCAGCATCACAGTTCACTGCTTCAAAACAAGTCACATTTGCCAGGTCTGGTAGCACGCCTTTGATCCCAGCACTCAGGAGGCAGAGGCAGAGGCAGGCGGATCCCTGTGAGTTCAAGGCCAGCCTGGTCTACATTGTGAGTTCCAGGAGAGCTGGGGCTACAGGGAGACCCTGTCTCAAAAAGACCAAAAAAAAAAAAAAAAAAAAAAAGTCACATTTGATAGATTTCAAGTTCAAAGGTCGGTGTTTTTAATCCACTCTCCCCCTCCATAAGGACATGGCCTATTTGGAATTGTTAGTCCTAAATGTACAACTATTTTTGTCAAATAAATTTATACTTTTTCTCTGCACTACTAAACAAGGATGTTTATAATATACAAATAGAAAATAATTTAAAACCAAGCGTGATAGCACAGGACTGTAATCTCTGTACTCAAGAGGTAGAGGCAGGAGAATTAGGGGTTCAAGCCCAGCCCAGGCTAATGAGACCCTGTCTCAAAAACAACAAACCAAAAGAAAGTATCTTTCATTAGCTGAGCAGGGCAGCCTGTGATCACAGGGCTCAGGATGGACTGGCACAAGTTCAAGACTAGCCTAGTCTACACAGTAAGTTTCAAGTTAGCCTGAGCTATAAAGCAAGACCCTGTCTCAAAACAACAAAAGAAAATAATTTATTTGTAAGATACCTAAGTGTAACTTTTCATGCAATGCCAGTCTTTTTTTTTTTTAATTTAATGTGTACGGGTATATTGCTTGCATGTAGGTAAGTGCACCTGTGTCATGCAATGCCCTTGGAGGTCAGAAAAGAGTGTTGGATCCCCTGGAACTGGAATTACGGACAGCTGTTAGCTGCCATGTGGGTGCTGGGATCGAACCCAGGTCCTCTGCAAGAGCAGTCAGTGCTCTTAACTGCTGAGCCATCTCCCCAGCCCCTATAATGCCATTGTTGTTTATATTTTTCACATCTTATAATTTCTCAGAATTAAAATAAAAAGAAAGTTAAGATTTTATTAGTTTTCCTGAACTCGAAGAATTTTATAACCTAGTACCGACTGAGCTGGGGACGTTAACTCAGTGGTAGAGCACTTACCTAGCATGCTTGAAGCCTTGGGTTCAGTCCCCAGTACAGCGGGGAAGAAGAGAGGGAGGGACGGAGGAAGGAGCAAGGCGCAGTGGTAGCTCATCCCCATCATTTCAGCACTCCGGAGGCTGAAGCAGAAGGTCACCAGAAATCTGAGGTCACTCTGGCTACAGAGTGAGCCCAACAACAACAAAAAATCACCGGGTGTGGTTTCAAATGCCTTTAATCCCAGCACTTGGGAGGCAGAGGCAGGCGGATCTCTGAGTTCGAGGCCAGCCTGGTCTACATAGTGAGTTCCAGGACAGCTGGGGCTACAGGAAGACCCTGTCTCCAAAAGACCAAAAAAACAAAAAAAAAAAAAAAAAAAAAAAAAATCTAGAGCCAGGCATGGTGGATACAGCTTTTATTCCAGAACTTGGATATTGCACACATACAGTACCAGCACTTGGAGGCTGAGGCAGGACGAGGAAGAGTTCAAGTTTCCGACCACTACATAATGAGACACTGTCTCAAACAAAACAGCAGAGCACAGCTTCCATCTCCCTCCCACCTGCTGCGGCAGGCTCTCCTCAGGCCATTCTTGAGATCACACTGCCTGTCACTGCCAGCTCAGTGAGCTCAGCACTACCTCACCAATTCCCTCTGCCACACAAGCTGCCCACCTCCAGTAAGCACCCCACCCTGGTGGCTGAGGCACAGACTGTCCCATCTGCTTCACTCCTGGTTGCACAGTTCTGAGGTGAAGTACAGTGAGGCTGCTGGGGCCCTCTGTAGTGGAGTGACTGTTCCATTCTGTACCTGGAATTTCTCTCATGCACTCCTAAAGCTCCCTCCCAATGCTCTGCTGATGGAGCCTACTTCTATCATGCCATGCATCCAAATCTTTAAAAAACATTGCATGTATTTATGTCTGTGTGTGGATACACATGCACAGAGTGGACAGCCTACAGAAGTCTTTTCGCTCCTTCCACTATGTAGGTTCTAGGAATCCACCTCAGGTCATCAGGCGTGACAGCAAGCACCTTTGTGTGCTGAGCCATCTGGCTAGCCCACACATCCAAATCTTAAAGCATGAAGCAGGCATTATATAATCATCATCTGAACTTGACCTCAGAAATGGGGGGCTCTGAGGAAAGTGTCATGAACACACTACAGTGATCCTTTAAAAAGCACACACTAAAGCCCAAACGCAGATCTGTAAGTTACAGACACAGGCAGGGACCTAGGAACATGGGTTTCTCAGCTGCTCTGGTCCCCAGCATGGGTCCTGCTCACCAACCAGCCAGCCTCCTTAGTCTCCTTCCGAAGCCTTGGGGGCCAGGGCCAGCTCTCTTCCCTGTTGGTCCCTAGAGGGTATCCTCATAGGAGAGAGGGACCACAGAACAGTGCAGGGCCAGTGGTCGTGTGCACAGCCTGAAAAAGGACCGCCCACTGTCCACCGTTCTCATAGACAGATCCCGCCCTCCAGGCCAGACTGTATCTGGTTCCTGACTCACAATGAATACCAGTGTGTCACTATTTACTTAGGATGTTTGACATTCCTAAGACTGTATGTGGCATTGCAGAAGACTCTGGCTGTGCAGATAAGGGCTGTGCAGTGTGGGGCTGGGACCCTCGCATAGCCCACAGGAGGTCCTTTACTAATGGCCCCGCCTTTCTGTTTGGTCCAGACTATTTGAAAAGGAGAATCTGGGTCTGTAACTCCAATTCCAGGGATCCAATGCCCTCTTCCGCAGGCATTTCACAACATGGTGCACTTAACATGCAGGCAAAAACTCATACACATAAAACGAAGATAAATTTAAAACATGTTGCTGGGCACGATGGTGCAGGCCTTTAATCCCAGCGTTCTGTGAGATGAGTCTCTGAGACTGAGGCCAGCCTGGTCTACAGAGCAAGTTCCAATGACAAAAACGCTGCTTCACTGTCCTGAGCGGCAGACTGACAGGCCGACAAAGGCATCAGTTCCTGAGCGCAGTGTCCACAGGGATGCAGAAGTGCCATGGCGTGCAGCTAAGGTCCACTGTCCTTTCTACATGTGGACACAAGTGACACAGGAAAAACTAAACAGACCTAAAAGAACTCTCTTGATAAAGATAAAATTTAACCGGCTCAAGTTCTGTGTCACAGATGAACTCGTATTTTCTTCCTCTCGTTGGTACATGAAAAACGGCTCCTCTCATACTAAAAGGATCAGGTGTGATGAAATAGAAAACACCTATGGATTCGGCTAGAACAGCAGCGCCTACTGAAAGGGCGCTGCTGCACGGCGGTGAGGCACAACGTACCAGCTACTCAGAACAATGAACGTCATGCTGCTGTCACGGTCAAACCAACTGCTCTGCGTGTTCTATTCCCTCAATATCATGGACTCCTTTCAGGATGTTTGTGTCACCCTAAAGTGACACAGCTAGACCACTGACCAGGGGCAGCTGGTACGAGCAAGGATTTCTGGGCCAGCCTATTAGAGTCTAATAATCAAACACAGAATGCTGCCAGTGGACAGTCTCAGGGTCTGGGAGACAAGTGTGAAGGGAAGAGGGGACCAGCAGGAGCGGATGAGGAGACCGTGCCAACAGTCAATGGTGTGGCCCCAGCAATCAGCAGTTTTGGTTCTGCTTCCCAGAGGCATAACTGGACTTTTTTCCAGAGGCTGCCTCTCAGAATGTGAGCTCCACATGGGGGTCTGCTGTGTTCCTACCTCCAGAACAGTTCAAAGCATGGAGTTGCGATGGAGACCCCTGTCCCACTCTTGCTTCTGTCATAGGTCCAGGCCAGCTGGAGTATCCCCAGCCCTCAATCAGTTCGGCCTCCCAGACACCTGCTAGACAAAGGCAAGACATCCCACAATGCACTTCTAGATATGTCTGCAATTGTGTGATCACTGTTTCTTTAGGCTCTGACAGTGCTGCTGGACACTCTAATAACCTAAGTAGTCAATTAGGGGAACTTATCTGTTGGAGGCCCCAAGCCAGGAACAGGGAAGGAGCCCTAGGAAACAAGGAGCCTGGAGTGAAGGGTTCCCAGACTCACGTCTCAGTGCCAGGTGTCCAATCTTTACTTCAGATTCCAGCCTGACCCTTCAAACCTCCATTTGTTCATCTGTAAAGCAGAGATGGTGGTAACAGGGCCAGTGGCAGAGTGTGTCCCAAGACAGCAGCTCATGCTTAAGAAAAAGAACATGGACTCTGGAAGGCAACGAGCTCAGGCCCCAGTTCTACCACAACTTTGGGCAAGTTACTTCTTTCTCTGCTCCCTCATTTCCTCATCTTTAAAGTAGAGATAATAAAAGCAGGCTGGGGAGGTTGTGGGGTAAAATGAACATATTTCTCTAAGAATAGTGCCTAGGAAACAGACGTGGTGGCACACACGCTTTAAACCTAGCACTTGGGAGGCAGAGGCAGGCGGACCTCTGTGAGTTCAAGGCCAGCCTGGTCTATGTAGCGAGTTCCTGCAACTCGCAACCCTGGCAGCAACTCAGATTCAGTGCGGACAGCAAAGTCTGTGAAAACTCCCAACACTCGCACTAACGGCCGCAAACTCCGCAAGCTTCTTCAGCATTTACAGAAAGGGGTGTGCAATTGTAAACCTTCTCACAGTTCAGAAGCTACCGACAAAGACGGCGATCCATTCTCAAGAATGTAACTACTAGAAGAAAAGATCTCAGCCTCCAAGACTCTACCAGTGGTCAGAGTCCCAATTTGGAGTGACCAGCCTGCAACACCATGGCTGGCTGGCCT